ATCATCGTTTTAATTATTGCATTCATCTCAATCAATCACTCTTACTTGATTCCTCGAATTTTTTTCGTTGCGCTTCGGCATGGCGAGTTGGGGGACAGGAAAGGTGGATTTCACGGCTGGAAAAATTTTCACGGCACCACCACCACCACCAACGGATAGCGGAACAGCCGCAATAATGCTTGTAGAATCTCTCGCGACTTCTACTGGCATGAAATTGGAGAAACTAAAAACAGTGGCATATTACTTAAACAGGGTCCGAGATAGACTGGCGATCGCAGGAACTGATAAATCTGCGACACCAATGGTCGAAATAGATGAGGTACTTGATGCCTTCGTAGCCCACGCCAAGATGTTTCGATCGAAGCTGACGGCTAACCCAATGGAAGATCGAATGTTGGCCTTAGAGAAGGTCGTAAAGGAGAGTCTCGATAAGCCGGTCTGCAAGACTGCACCACCACCAGCGCAACTAATGGGAGGGCGACCCACGTACGCCTCGATCGTCGCGCCGCCAGCAACCAAAGCGGCAGTACGGATTCGAGTAGAAGGAGCCAACAAGATGCAGCCGACAGAGCTGCTTAACAAGGCAAAACTACATATAAATGGGGCATACGCCGTGAGGCAATTAAGGAGCAACGATACTGAGGTGTTCGTGCAGTCGGTCTCCCAGAGAGACGCTGCCTTGAGGATGGCGCAGCCCAAAGAGTTCTGCGTCCTAAAGCAGGATTACCCTGTTGAAATCTTAGGAGTCCCACTGGGGACAATAATTCACGGAGGAAAGAATGCCAACAACAGCGTGGCAATATTTAAAATGACAACGGAGACAAAAGCACGGATTCCAGGGATACAAATCAACAGGGTGAGATGGCTCTATGACGGGAAGGAGCACACCTGGGTGAAGGAAAATGGCCATACTCGAGGGTCAGTCATTGCGAGCTTACCGACCGAGGCTCTACAACGCGAAGTGATTCGAAATGGCATTGTAATGGACTCAATGCTCTACACGGCCCAGCTCTGGTCACCCCGGGCACAAGTCAAGCAGTGCTTCAACTGCAGCCAATGGGGGCACACCCAAGCATCCTGCAACAAGGCAAGGAAATGTGGAGGGTGCGCGGGCACCCATCAGACCAGGGACTGTCCGAAGAAGTCGGTACTTTGCTGCAACTGCGGCAAGGCCCACTTATCGTGGCAGAAGGGGGCGTGTCCAAGCTTCGCGGCATACAAGGCCAACGTTCAGCGGGCACGGTATGGACTCATGGAGAGAACGGCCGAACTAAGAAGGGAGAGCGAAACACTAACGGAGTTACCTCAACTAAGTACTGTTAACATACCAGACGACCATGGATTCACGCTAGTGACCAACCAAAAGCCAGAAGGCTTCAAGAGAGGGCCGGGACGCCCGCGCAAACAAGTTCAGGTCCCAGCCCCATCACAACATCTATTTGCGCCATCGGGGTCGAAATCAAGACCACAGCCATCACTTTTCAGCACGCGAGGGCAGGGGAAGGATGGCGAGGTATACTTTAGCTAGTTCTATTTCGGACTAACGGCCATTTGCACTTACTGTAGGTAACGAAGAACTACAGGTATAAAATTTTAAAGGGGGAGGGGGTTTTTATCGTCATGGTTTCCCCCTCATGTAAATATATAGTTTTAGGTTTATAGTCACCTGCATGGGCCTTAAGGCGCCAAATCAGGACAATGAAATCAAATTCAAATTCAAATAATAATAATAATAATAATAATAATAATAATAATAATAATAATAATAATAATAATAATAATAATAATAATAATAATAATAATAATAATAATAATAATAATAATAATAATAATAATAATAATAATAATAATAATAATAATAATAATAATAATAATAATAATAATAATAATAATAATAATAATAATAATAATAATAATAATAATAATAATAATAATAATAATAATAATAATAATAATAATAATAATAATAATAATAATAATAATAATAATAATAATAATAATAATAATAATAATAATAATAATAATAATAATAATAATAATAATAATAATAATAATAATAATAATAATAATAATAATAATAATAATAATAATAATAATAATAATAATAATAATAATAATAATAATAATAATAATAATAATAATAATAATAATAATAATAATAATAATAATAATGGGGGCATACTCAAGCCTCGTGCAATAGGGCGAAAAGATGTGGTGAGTGCGCGGGCACTCACCAGACTAGAGACTGCCCGAGGAAGTCGGTGCTCTGCTGCAACTGCGGCAAAGCCCATAAATCGTGGCAGAAGGGGGCGTGTCCAAACTTCGCGTCCTACAAGGTTAGTGTCCAGAGGGCACGGTATGGACTTTTGGAAAGAACGGCAGATCTAAGAAGGGAGGAACTAACAGCAGCGGCCACCACAATATCACCAGCGGCAAAACAAGTAGACAACCAAGGGTTTACACTGGTGTCCAACCAGAAGGCAGAGGTCGGAAAGAGAGGGCCAGGGCGCCCGCGGAAAAATCCCGTGGCCACAGCCCCACCTACACACCAATTTGCGCCATCGGGGTCGAACTCAAGACCACAGTCATCACTTTTCGGCACGCGAGGGCTGGGAAAGGATGGCGAGGTCACCTATAACTTTAGCTAGTCCTGTCTCGGACTAATGGCATATTGCGCTTCCTGCAGGTTAACGAAGAACCGCAGATATAATTTGAAGGAGAAGGGGGTTTTTATCGGAAGGTTTCCCCCTCATGTAAAATATCTATAAATAGAGTTTATAGCCACCTGCATGGGCCCATAGGGCGCCAAATCAGGGTAATGAAATCAAATTCAAAATTCAAATTCAAATAATAATAATAATAATAATAATAATAATAATAATAATAATAATAATAATAATAATCATGCTGCAACTATGCTCCTACTAATATGTGTCTACCAGCCTAGTCTACACGCTAGTAAGAGACTAATAATACAGGGTATACAAGATCTCCAAACGCCTTTTTTTTTTAAATCATTCGATGCGTATTCAGCTATCTAGCTATGACACATGACCGGCGCTAATGTATACATGTAGGATGACTCTTTTGACATTAGAGACACTCATACTCTGGATTTCATTCGCAAATGATACTATGAGGTATTTTTTCTTGCACAAACAGTCGACCCTCCTCCGTTAGTACCCACCAAAGGGACATTTCAAAACCTTTGGATATTCAAGCATGCCTTCGTCATCCATGCATACCAGCGCCGCGAGAAATGGGGTTATGTTTTGGCGAATTTGAACCAGCGATCTACAGTCTCGAGTGGGATATGTGTCCAAGCTATCCAGACTCTACTTGGCAGACCGGCCAAGACGATGTACCGCCGCACCATCCAGCCATGGCAGTTTTTATAGTGTCGCCTGCACTCTCCAAATGCCTTACCCTTATACTCCCAACTTAACATTTACCACAACCCTAACTCCATTATGTTGAGGGTATAAGAATGATTATGATTGACTAAATCTTTTGTAATTTAACAAATTGAATACATTGAAGCTTCCAACGTATGATAAAAGTAAATGCCACACAAAACCTGAAAAGTTACATTTCTAGACGACTATTGCAGGTATATTGTATTATGAATAAGGTATGGGTAGGTATGAATTGTTGAATTGTCTAGGGATGAAGATCCAAAATTCCAAGTCCGAGTGAAACGCCAGGTCTCACGGCAAGCGAGCCGCCGAGTTTGAGGTTCCATGATGAATGCACCCCTAGCATTCTTTGGTCACAATCCGGGCGGCTAAGCACCTCACTCCTCCCCTACTGTAATTTGATAGTTTACTTGTCATGTATCATTGATCGTTGCATTATCTGGAAAATAGAGGATTTCATGTATTTGAGGAGGAGTTAGAACGTTAATAGAAATACAAGTTTACACCTAGTCTCAAGCTCTACACACATATAGATTGTCGTAGTCGGAGCCACGAGACATCCGTGAATTTCAGTCAACATTTATCATTTTATTCTTACTAACGTGCACAAGAAACCTCAGGGATAGCAGATAAGGTGGATAAAGATTATCGGAGCTCGATGACATGATGAATAGCTTGGTTTTAATCATCTACATGTCATGGTGGTAGACAGGACTTATATACACATATTTGATACCCACTGTACAGTACATCACCGTCTATGCAGGAGGTTCTACAACCTTAGCTCCATGCCGTAATATCCCAGATTAATCTATGCCATTATGTAGAGCTGCACCTCAGTAGTCGATCGTAATGATAGCCATGTAGGACTGTACAGTGCTCGCATAGGTGTACTGTATCCCTGACAATTGGCAGAGTTATGTTTAAAATAATGCAATAATTACATCACAAAAATGTTGGAATGTAGAGTGGAATTTGTGAGGTCAATCCTTTAAAGTTCGATATTGATTCGTTAATTTTTCCGATAAGTGTTGTTGTAAGTAGTTCAAGGTAGAATTTGGAAGTTCGCTTAGGCCGAGTAGTATCTCACTAACCCCTTTTTTCATAGAAATAGGCTAGATGCAGTGAGGCAGCTCAGTTGTAGATATCACTTGATAAATTTCATCAGATAAATGCGAGTACATTTTATTTGCTTATCAATACAACGGTATCTGCGCAGTCGGTCTTACCCCTGTGATATTAATAATAAACTAAGCGATTCGGACTTTCGTTACTTAGATATTATCTGGCAGACTAGAGACCTTTCCTTATCCATTTATGAGGCATTTGGTTGGCGAAATAATTATCGACATGTATTTGTGTTTTGACCGAAGCTTGAGATAAGGATTTGCTACGCATGTGAAGTTAACCAATTTCCGAAGAATTAGAATATTTTTTTGAGCAGGCCTGGCTCTTATAAAGACTGAAAACTGAACTGTTTAGGTTGCAATTGTAGCTTGGTCGAAGCGAAACTTCATTTAGCACCTAAACGTGCCCATTTTACACGAAAAGTGTAAAGTATCTTTCCAAATTAATACCATAGTTTTAGACAACTCTTCCCTCACCATCTTCTGTTCCCTCTATTTGCATACCAATTGCATTCGGCGTTCCAGTTAAAATCTTCCCTTTTGGGATTTTGATAGATCTGACACCAAAACAACCAAACACTGTCAATACTTTCAAACTAGGGCAACTTCTAAAAATACATCCCACAACATAATCGTTAACTGCCTGACAAAAACTTACATCAAAATGTTCCAAGGCTGAATACACCTTGTCCGTGGCAAAAATCTCCTCAAAGGTATCAAGTGATATGTGTCGGCAGGATGAAATGTCAAGATGCTTAAGTTTAGATCCGGAATGAGACATTATGGCCTGGAACCCTGATGAACAGAGTCCGATTTTATCAGTATTTCTAGATGGTTCAACGGCGTCGACATGTCGACATTCTGAGAAGTCAAGGAAATTAAGTGGGGCATTGCTCCAGTTAGTGAAGAGTGAGGCAAATCCACTATCAGTGAATGATTGACTTCCAGTAATGCGAAGTTTGGTGAGATGCCTACAGTTCTCATGTATAGCTTGTAGTAACCTGTTATCAACCTGAGGAACCGTTTCGAGAGAGAAAGTTCTGAGCTTGGAACCAATCGAGTTGAGAAGCTTAATTAAAGGAGTTGACGTCAACGATTTAGTTCCAACTGGGCGATATAGTTCAATACTGAGATATTGAAGGTTTTCTAGAAGACCAATATTTACTAAGCCTTCGTTACTAACTTTGGAATTATGGGATACTTTCAGTCGCTCAAGTTGTGGACAGCACTTTGGCAGAAGGTCTATGACGCTATCTCCAAAATGATTATCAGTAAAATGCACTTTAAGATTCCTCAACTGTGCACTTTTTTCCGTCAGGAAACGTTCCCATCTTTCATCATCAATTAGGTTCGCACCATGAATGTCTAACGATTCTAGATTTACTGTTGTACCTAGTAGATGATCTATTACAACATTCTTGAAGTGTATCGCGTTGCGAAGCTTTAAATGTTTGATTGAAGGGACAAGCTGGAAGATACGAATGTAGTCTTCTGAGCATAGTTTTGCACCATCAGTTATAGTGAGAGAATCGTGCTTCTGCTCCAGGAAAAGATCCAATATAGGAGATGTAATGAGTCTTCGCTTAGAGAGGATTGCACCGAGTTTTTTCACCAGCTCAAGGGGTAGATTACCAAAGCTCTCCGCCTCGTGAACATTGTTTGCCAGAGTCTCGACACAAAGAGTAGCTAAGTTCTTTGCACCAGGATAAATACCATCTAGAATATTACTCGCGTTTTTTCTTCGTGTCGCACCGGCTCTTTGTTTATTCCTCTTTTCCATAGCCGTATCAGCGTGTTCCGAATTTTTTATACAGGTTGGACAGAGAAGACTTTTGTCATTACTGGTATTATCAACTAGATTGTGTACTGTTATAGTGAATCTCTTTTCGCATATCTCGCAATTTGTTATCTTGCCTACTATAGCTAACTTATCTTCTGAAACATATTCTTCATTTTGATCATTATATTCGGTAGAATCTTTATCCATCCCGAGTGTACGACTACGTTTCAAAAGTTGGGAAGCCTTTGCGCTAGATATAGCTTTCTGGCAAATAGTTAGTGCCGGGTGTTTGTTAAATTCCATATTCTGTCAAATGGGAAAATTATTTACTTCCAGCTCTAATTTTCTTTTCTTTCCGTGCACTTTGCCACTGCCCTTATTTAACGGAGCGTCGGACGGTAGTTGAGAGGACGATGAGGCTCCATTCTCATTCTCGATCTGCTGCGCGGCTAGAATGGCTGCTTTTCGTGCAATTGCATCTTCTTTGATTTGGTTTGCGCTTATGTTGTGAGACTGTCATGGGTTGATTAGAGAAAGTTCAAAAGCCATTTGTTCAACGTACGGCTAAAAAGTCGGTCAAGGCCGAATGTCTGTATAAAATTAATATCCAGTGTAGCCGCAGGAGGTGACGTGCGCACTTACGGCCCTCGAATTTGTCGATTATTTCTTCTATTGGACCTAAAATTCAGGTCAGCTACAAATTGTTGCCAATTAGGATTCTCGTACATTTTGATATCTGATTGATGAAGTAAAATTAATAAGTAAGGAATAGACGCCCTCTCAGTAAACAGGTTGGAACACGCAGTTGTTATATGAATATTATAAGCTAGACGGGCGATATTAATGTCATCCTAGGCCTTCTGGGGATACGGCTTTGGTCAGTGCGACTTGACTATTGATCTTCAATTTCGTTTGGCTTCTCCTGGCACTGGCCCTAACTCGTGACCGAAGCTACTATGATGGCTGGTCAGTTCCAAGCGAACTACAGGGAGTTCCATAGTAGAGGTAATCATAGCTGTCACAAACAACAATGCCCTACGCATCATACGCTAAGAACAAGCGATTGTCGCACAACCATAAGGTATCACTAAACCGATACCCTCACTTTTCTACGATCAAGGAAGGTAAGGTGAAGGAAAGCTTGTCAGTCAACTGAATGTTGCTCTGCAACAAGTAAGGTGGTGTCAAGAAGAGACGGAGGGGCTCTAGAATGGCATAAGGTCGGAATTGTGTGGAGAAGATTAGTCAAAGCCTGGAAGGTACTAAGGGTATAAAGAATCTGGGGACGTGGTGTTAGAAATAACAAGCGATATTTGGTCTAGCGCGCGAACATTGATTTCTCTTGTCGGGGGAATTTCACATGATTCAGCCCATTTAACAAGTCTAGCGATACTCGCCACGGGCCCATTCCTAATTAGCTCCTTAAAGGTGCGATTGATGTCAATTGTCGGGCTCGTATAACAGCAAGAACAAAGCAAAGAGTTTTGCACAACTTCCGTACCCGACCTACACAACCGTGTAATGCGGAAATCAAAGGCTGAACACGTACCAGCGGTATGCCCTACAAGCTTAGGTGTGGAACATTTTCCCAAAGTCGAGATTCAGTCACGGCAAAGAGTAAAATTAAAAGTTTTCGTTGATATAACGATCACGTGGAGTAGTGTTGGCAAGTTTTGGTCGAAATTGCGACCTGCATAGATTTCTTGACCGCACATCCGAACAAATACGAGCCGCAGATAAATTAAAATCTGTCCGATGCTCGAATTAAAACAACTAACAATTCTCGCTTTCTCAAATTTTCCAGGAGCGTCGTTTATATTCAAATTCATCTCGCGACCCTTTTCACAATCACCTCAACAACAATCTAAACTCCAAAATTGGAGGGCAAAAACTGAACACCTTTACCCGGTGTCCTGTATGAGCCTTGGAGTGAAATATTCTCCCAGAGCCGAGTTTAGACAAATTTCGTAATACCAAAGAAGCTGGTCCATGAGTTAATGATTCAAGATACTTCACTATGTACAATTTTCACTCCTGACGAGATCGATTCTTACCAAAGCCTCATCAAGTCTGCAAGTACGACTTAGTGCAACCTCATTTTAATGAGAACACATCTCATCGACTATTCTCAGGCCTAAGCCGGTCGCTATATATACGCCCACGATTATAAGAATACCCGCAAGAGGAAACGGATCGTGGCGCACAGAATTGGGGGGAAGTTTTTTGGGATAGGCATGAGAGAAAACAGGACAATTCTACGAGATGATATAAAGGAAGGATAAAATCTCGGCAGGTGCAAGATTTCGAATTTTGACAAGGACTTTAACAAATTGAGCTTAATGCGTGCCAAGACTTCGATTACGCGAGTGCATTTCACACTGTAAACTCAAGCTAACGATGAAGGTGACGGGGTACGCCTCATGATAGTTGTTTCCGGTATAGTTTCAGTGGCCTGTATATCTACTCCACTTGGGAAGAAGACGCATCAGACCAGTTTTTGCGCGGAGAAAACTCAAAATATGATGCAGGCATGTCTTGATAACTCAGAGTTTTTGAGACGTTCCCCTAGGTAGGTATTCACGGATGAGGACTGGCTAGGGGTGAAGAAAAAGCCGCCATAACTTCGCAGTGGTACTTGCAAATGAAATCCGAGGCACGAGCGCTCTTTTTAATTGAGTCATCTGCTCTGTACTTCTCTGATATTGTGTCGTAGCTAGATAGCTGTATACGCAATTAAAATCTGTTGCAAAAAATAGCTCCAAAATTCAAAAGTTATACTTGAAACCAAAGCTACACATGGACATTCATCGCGTAGTAGTTTTCGGGCGTTGTGAAGCCACGGTCGAAGAACTGGCCTTACATTCTTCTAACCTTTGCCCAGGGAGCCAACAACTCGACATGCGACGAATTACGTTCGTCATTCCGCCGGCAGATAAATTAGAGCATTCGAGAGATGTTGACAATTTGGTGCCTTAGTCTTGAGCTGTACGAACCATATTCGGCCTCCACGATTAGGGCTACGGCAGCGACGGGGAAAGACCAGAGGGTTGGAAAGTCTATGAAGTTTCTGAGATTGTATTAATGACTAAAAATTAAGAAGAAGCTACAATAGAGGAATAGAAGTAAAACTTAGGAAGCCTCGTTGGGTAACTGCATGAGATCTCCGACAAAGATAATGACCCCTCGATGAGATGAGAAGATGATGGGACGAGGCATGGCTGAAACTGAATAGAAAGGACAAATTAAAGATTGGGAGAGTGTTGAGAACTCGGGCGCGCGATGACCGAGGCCGGTTAGGAAATTGCGCTTCGGCGTGTTAAAATCAGAATCTCTGGAAGGTAAGACTTAACATATTTAACATATGGGTGAAGTCTGAGGTGGTCTGGTCATTCAGATTGGACGAGGCTCACGCACTTGATGATAGCTAACCTGATTCAGCTCGGCAACACTCGAGCTCAAACTCCTATAGGGGTGCGGAGGCTTCCAATTACCTAGCACGTTAATAAGCAACCCAAACCATGATGCACATGGGAATATCCATCTTCAAATTTCAATCACATGGTCATGGCCTGCACCAAATGGACCAAAGTGAGAGGGGAAATAGTCAGAAAGGTAGAGACTCGGTCATTCGGAGCCATGATAAACAATCCAAAGGTTTAGCAAGGATCTCAAGATGGATTCAGTATCAAGGAAGGTTAGAAAAAGTTTGACTGACGCGTGGAGTCGAAGGCACGATGAGGGAGAGAGAAGAGTGTGAGTAAGATGATCTCCTGTCGGCAGCAAGGAAATTGACGAAATTTCCACCTGACATAATAGTGTTAGTGCACTTCTCAAAGGTAATACAGTATCGAAGTGTAGATAAATTGAGAAGTTAAGGCGGTTTCGACCACAATAGTTTCCTTCCATCTAAATATGAGAATTCGTAGATACCTGCATGGGTCTAAAGGGCGCCGAACTAGGCTTAATGAAATCAAATTTAAAAAGGAAGGCCTATATTTAATATTTAATTTTTTTGCTCATTAATGTGTTAGGTAAAGTGACTACCGTTGCACTCCTACTGGAGCTTAAGCACGGGTGAGGCTGGGCCGGATCAGGTTAACTACCATTAAGTACATCTACCTCGTCCCACCTGAATGACCAGACCACCTCAGACTTCACCCATGTGTTGAATCATCTCAAGCCCAACCTTCCAGAGAACCCTCTTTTGGCGCACCGAAGCACAAATTCCTCCTCAGCCTCGGCCACCACGCGCCCGAGCCCTTGACACCTTCACGATCTGTGATGTTTCCCTTCCATTCAGTCCTAGCTTTGGCTCATCTCGTCCAGAGGTCGTTTTCTTGACCGGAGACCTCATCCAATCGGCCACCAAGGCCTCCTCAGTTTGTATTCCCTTTTTTTTTTCCTTCATGTAGCATCCCTCTGTCCTTCAGTCGACCTCGTGATCCCAGAAACTTTGTAGAATGTCCACCCCTCCGGCCATGCCCCATCGCTGTCGTACCCCTAACCGTGGAGGTCGAAAAGGCGACTGAGAGCTCAAGACCGAGGCACCGGTGCCCTAGCCTTTGTCGAACGCTCTGGTTGGTGCCGGCTAAATGTCTTATAGGTTTTATTCATACTGCTGTGACCAATGGTTCTCGTCTCACAGTATTTTTGTTTTTTAGTATGTGTTTATTGTCCTATAAAGCCTTCGACTATGAAGGGACATGTAGGTTCTTTTTGCATAATGGCCGGCAGTATCTATGCCGTAGATAGTGTACTCCCTCCATTGCCTCCTCCACAACTTGTTTCCACCAGTAATACCCCCACAGGTCTTCATTCGAGTACACACTAAGAGGAGTCGTTATTCCGTCACTGTCTCCCCTCTCCAGCCAACGAAACGATAGCCATTTGCGGGTCTGTGGCTGCAGGAAAAAGTCTCAAAAACCACTGGGTGCGGGGCTCTCCTATGACGAAGAGGCCGGCCAGCCGGGCGCAGCAGACCTGTGTATACCTAAGAGCGTCTCTCAACCTTCCTCGCCTCCTCCTTACTCCTCCCCTGATTGATGTCGCAGGATAAACCGAAGGTCGTGAAGTGGATGTCAGGAAATTCTTGGTCGAGAGTAACTGTCGTGGATTAGACTAGCCTAGCATCCAAAAGTCGTCACGGACGTGGGGTGTCGAGTAACTCATGTATTCCAGATGCCTTCCTGGCCAGTAGATTCAAAAATAAAGGTTAGAAGGGACGATATAATTGACGAATCGAAATCTACTCTCCTTGAGCGCGGAAGGGTCTTTCACTTTGCTTTCGTGGGCTTTTTGTTCGCCTGCCGGTGGGTAGCACATGCTATAACATAACAAGGGCTTCTCTATCACTACTGTTGTAGCGTTTGGTACCGCATTATCATTCCTCGTTCCGAGAATCATTATCGTCGTCGTAGTCGTCTTTTGTGTTATCGGAAGCGTATCTTTGACGGAGGGTAAGATAACTCAGCTCAAAGTTGAAAAGGTGTTACTCAATCTCGACTCGACAGACTCTACAGTTAGAGCTGGAGGTTCGTAGGGGAATCACTGACAAGTGTTGAGTTTCGTCCCCCTATTGTTTTTTATGTGCGATGGGTAAATACAGAATCACTGTGCTACTACTCTCTATTGCATAGCCCGCTTCTTCTTCGTACCCAAGGTGGACTTAGAGCTTTAGCATAGGGCCTAAAGCTTTTTAAAAAAAACAACAGTTACATACTCAAATGAA